GTGGACACAGCCACAGCCGTTCCTTTCTCGCTGCTCCCCTACTCTCGCAATAGCGTTGCCTCGAGAACCTACGGGCAGGAGTTACACCAAGCAGCAGCTTCCAGCCTCTGCGGCAGGAGCCAGCAGTGAAGAAGCTTCCACGGAGACCGGCAGGTGCTCCGACAACAACCGGCCAGGAACAACGACGGGGCGAAAAAAAGCAGCATCTTCTGCAGCTGACCCCTCCCCAAAGACCCCTGTACCATAGTCGGGACATGGAAGGGGACCTACACCTTGCCACACACTGCTTTCCTACCAATAAGGAGCCTGGGTCTCTGAGTGCCGCCAGGTCTGCAGGTGAGAAAGGACCAGGGTGGCAGCCCGAGAGGTGCCAAGATGCTCCCAGGCCCTGTTGGCACTCTTCACGGCATGGGAGGGAGGGCGGATCATGCCCACGTGGCAGATCTTGTAGTTCCTCCCATGGTTGTTGTCCCAGTGGGTCTCCTGTCCGCACTGGAAAGAGATGCAGAACTCTGTGGCCCTGCAGGAGACAGATGGCTTGGGCAGGGCAAGCTCAAAAGAGAAGGTGTCTGTGTCAGCTGAGCTGTAAGTGCTATGCATGTACTGGCAGGAGATGTCCCGGAAGCTCTTCCAGCCATCAAAGGTGATGCGGACCACGACTTTCTTCTCGTACTCAATGTTTCTGACCTTCACTGTCCCTGACAGGGCACGGTCCTGGATCAGGCAGTTCTCCAGGCAGACACGGTTGCTGTGTAGGCGGCTGCGGAAAGTGGTGTAGTCTGCAGAGGGCTGTGGGAAGTCCAGCACATACCTGCACACTTCTGGGTGTGAGTCCCGCAGTCTAGGTCGGAAGCAGGCAAGGTCAGACAGGGCATGCTGCAAGTCACAGAGGTCCTCCTCAATCTTTGAGAAGAAGCGGACAGCCGTCAGCGAGAGCCCCTTCATGTCAGCAAACACGACTCTCTTCTTCTGGCCCTTGGAGCTCTTGGTGCTATCTTGCCGCTCGGGCTCAGGTTCTGGGCTCAGCTTCTGGTTGAGACAGGATCGGAGGGGTTTGCGCCCCCGGTTGCCCCGCAGCTCCTCATAGGAGTTCAGCAGCTTGCGGATGGGGGGCGAGTGGCTCAGGCAGAGCCGCATGGCCAGGTCCACGGGCACGGCTGGGGGGGCGATGGCCCTCGCGCTATACACCTGGAAAAGCCTAGAGGCGAAGAGGGGGTCAGGCG